TAGCTTTAACGACCTCCTCTCTCCCCCCCCCCCCAAAAAAAAAAAAAAAAAAAAAAAGTTACTGGTTCTCCCAAGCATTATCTACCTCCCCCCTTCCCACTCCCCCTCCCACCCCCCCCCTCCCCACTCCCCTCTCCTTCTTTCATTTCGCATTCACTAGACTCACCCCCCCCTTCCTCCTCCTCCTCCTCCTCCTCCTCCTCCTCTTCCTTCGGCTCTTCCGCCTTCGCTTCATTCTCCTACTTCTCTTTCTCACTCCACATTTCTCTCTTTTTCTCTTTTCGTCTGTTTCGTATTCCTAATCCCGACGCTTCTCTAATCTCATTAAGTTTTCGATTCTCCTTTTTCTCTTTCCTTTTGCCTTTCCCCTTCCTTCTCTCCTTATGTCCCGTTCTTTCCCTCCATCCCTTTTTCCTTCTGTTCTTATTTTCTCTCTCTTTCTTCTTCCCCTTCCATTTGAAATTCACGTATTTCTTACTCGTCTCACACTTTCCATCTCCCCGTGTCCTTCCAGCTTCATTTAGCTCCCCACTCTTTCAATTTCTCCTTTTTCTCTTTACCTCCCTCTCCCCTCACCTCCCCTCGGTCTCTCTCCCTCTCTTTAGACCTTCCATTCTCCTTCTCTCCCCTCTGTCTCTCCTTAATTCTTGTCTCTCTTTATTTTGAATTTTACATAATTTTCTTCACTCCTCCCTTCTTCGCCTTTTCTCTCTTCGCCACTCCTTCTACTTCGTCTCCTCCCTATTCTGTCTTTCTTCCTCTCCCTCCTTCCTCGGCCACTCCCACTCCTCCTCCCAAATCCTGTCCTTCACTCTTTAACCCCCCCCCCCTAATTATTCCCTCCCCCCCTCCCTACTCCCTCACAGGCCCTCCCTTAGCCTGTCCCTGACTCCCTCCTCCCCCCCCTCCTCTCCCCAATTATTCCCTCCTCCCCCTCCCTACTCCCTCACAGGCCCTCCCTTAGCCTGTCCCTGACTCCCTCCTCCCCCCCCTCCTCTCCCCAATTATTCCCTCCTCCCCCTCCCTCCTCCCTCACAGGTCCTCCCTTAGCCTGTCCCTGACTCTGACTCCCCCCCTCCTCTCCCCATTATTCCCTCCCCCCCTCCCTACTCCCTCACAGGCCCTCCCTAACCCTGTCCCTGACTCCCTCCTCCCCCCCTCCCCCCCCCTAATTATTCCCTCCCCCCCTCCCTACTCCCTCACAGGCCCTCCCTTAGCCTGTCCCTGACTCCCTCCCCCTCCCTACTCCCTCACAGGCCCTCCCTAATCCTGTCCCTCACTCCGAGCCACTCCCGAATTCGTTCTCGAAACCACTCCTCCTTTTCTGTCCCTTATATCTTGGTAGGATTTACGCTTGACTGTTTTTCTTGCTCCTTTCTTCCTATTTTTCACTTTCTTTTTCTTTCTTTTTTCGCTTTCTCTTCTCTATTTCTCTTTCATTATTCTTCGGTTCCTGGTCCTCCTCCCTTTTCTTCTTCTTTTTCTTCTCCTTCTTTTTCTTTTTAGTTTTCTTTTTGGGGTTATTCTTCTTCCTTTTCTTCATCCCCATCATCTTCTTTTTCTTCTTCTTTGTTTTTTCTTTATCAGTCTTTCTCTTTTTCTTTATCTTTCCATCATCTCTTCCTTTTCATTTCTTCCCCTTCTTCTTCTCATCCTCTTTGTTGTTGTTGTTGTTGTTTTTCTTCTCCTTCTTCTGCTTCTTCTTCTACTCCTCCTCTCCTCCTCTCTTCTTCTCCTCCCCTCCCTTTCTTCTTCCTTCAACTTCTCCTTCTCCTTCTCTTCCTCCTCGTCCTCCTCCTACTCCTTATTTTTCTCCTCCTCCTCCTCCTTCTTCTTCTTCTTCTCCTCCTTCTTTTCCTCCCCTCCTCCTTCTCTCTTTCTTCCTTCTTTAACTTCTCCCTCTCTTTCTCCTTCTCCTCCCCTTCCTCCTCCTCCTCATCCTTCTCCCTCTCATTCTCCTTCTTCTTCATCATCATCATCATCTTCTTCTTCTTCTTCTTCTTCTTCTTCTTTTTCTTCTTCTTCTTCTTCTTCTTCTTCTTCTTCTTCTTCTTCTTCTTCTTCTTCTTTTTCTTTTTTTTCTTCTTCTTCTTCTTCTTCTTCTTCTTCTTCTTCTTCTTCTTCTTCTTCTTCTTCTTCTTCTTCTTCTTCTTCTTCTCCTCCTCCTCCTCCTCCTCCTATTCCACTTCTTCTTCTTCTCCTTCTTCTTCTTCCTCTTCCTCTTCTTCTTCTTCTTCTTCTACTTCTTATTCTTATTCTTATACCTCTTCCTCCTCCTCCTCCTCCTCCTCCTATTCCACTTCTTCTTCTTCTCCTTCTTCTTCTTCCTCTTCCTCTTCTTCTTCTTCTTCTTCTACTTCTTATTCTTATTCTTATACCTCTTCCTCCTCCTCCTCCTCCTCTTACTCCTGATCCTCTTCTTCTTTTTCTTCGTCTTCCATCTTTCTGCATTCCACATAGAAAAGACCAAGAAAATTAGAAAATATTTGTCGCCTCTGTAACCAACGCATTTACCACA